GACCACAGCAGGCATGTTGCATGAAATATTTTAAGCTCAGAGTGAGTCACTGACTTAAAAAGACCCAGGTAATCATTGTGTTCTAAGAAGATACCACCTAGCGTAATCCCTGACGCCTGTTTGACTGAAAAAATAGGAGCAATGTCGTAGGTATCTCGCCACCTTGACCTTTAAAAGGTCAAAAAAGGTCACCAACCTTGCTTGAACACCACTTGCCAGCTGGTTAGAACAAGCATCTAGCGTCACGGCTATTGCATGAAGAGACTTGGAGCACCTGAGGCACGTATCTGGAGTTTGGCCTTATCTGATCCTCAAGGTCGTGATTTAGGAACCACAATTTTTGACACCAGTGAGTTCACATACAGGCCGTCACCCTGTGAATTTGGTGCCTCCACCTGTCTTGATTTTTGAGATCTCAGAGAGTTAAAGTGACCTCCAACCGAGCGAGGGCATTCAACCGGCCACCAGCGCGCCCGTTAATCCATATAGTAGTTAATTAGCTAGTCAATTAAGATCTCTAGTTAATGCTCAGGCCATCGTCGGGTGTCATTGAACTCTGAAAGAAGCTAGATGGTGCTTAGCTTTCAGGTATATATGCGTCACACCCCAAACTTTCTCATTGGTGTTACTGGTATTCGGGCAGGGGTCCTCTGTTCACCGTCAGCTCCAATCTACTGATGTAGTCGGGACGGACAATGTCACCTGACGACAGCCAGCGATCTAAGTGGCAGAAATGTTGTGCAGATATCCGTACATTGGACGAGCACAGTAAGCCCAGCAACTGATCCATTCATAGCGTCCTGATATTCTTTGGCAGACAACTGGTACAAATACAGATTTATTAAAGTTCGTGTTATAACAGTCCTCTATCTTAGTCGCTAAACATACGAAGTGCCAACACAGTCAACAGTGTCTAACGTGCCATTTTCAACACCACCTCACGCAGAACTCACACGACGGATCTGCAGACTAGCTCGTGTTTAATGTTACGATACATCGCCGACGCCGTCCGAAACCGAGCACGGCAGGTCCTGCAGCAGCACCCACGAATACAACGCAACAGCTGCACGCACCCACGGCATCTTCCCCCTCCGGCAAGCGGCCACAAAGAGCATCGGCATCGACGCGTCGACGGCGACGCGCAGCCGTCGGGGCGCGGTCGGCGCCGGCGGCTCCTGGTGCGGCTGTGCGGACGCGGTGCGCAGGTGGGATACACCGAGTTTCCGTCGAGGGCGCGACGGCGGCGGAGCGGCACAGCACGTCGGTCCGGCGGCAGCTCGGCGTTCGGGGCCGGCAGGCCGCGCGCGCGGCGCACACTCGGTCCGTATCAAAACGCAAACCAAACGCAAGCTACGCGCGTCAGGGCGACGCGCTCGGGCGCAGTTCGATCACAGGGCGGCCGATCCGCTGGGGGATGCGCGCACTCCTCGGCCAGGGCTCTCCGGCGCCAGCCGGGTCAGCGCGCATGCGCAGCACACACGCACGTGCGCGCCCACTCTCGCCGCCTGGCGTTGAAAGACTGCACCAGGTCACTGGCCGCTAGACGGCAGAGACCTTGGGTGGCCGGGCGGGTGCGCCCTGCTGGTTGGCCGCTTGGTCAGCCCGCTTCTGGGCGAGTACTCGCTGACTCTCTTGCTTGTAGTCGATGGGCCCGTAGGACTTGTAGTCCACGTCAGCGTACTCCATATCGGACCATGGGCCAAGCGGCTAAAGAGCACGAAGTCGTCAGATAATTCCTCCTCGGACAGCTGCAGGTAACACAGTCAAGTTGACACTGGGTGCCGAGCAGGGGGGAGGGGGGCGGGCCAAGCCACGGCACACGATAGATCCACTGCAAACTAAGCCTTGCTGACAGATACCAAGTCCCTCCAGATGCAAACAGGGGTTAGTTCAACCGTCAACATCTGACACAAATGGTTACCACGACATGACTATGACCCGCAGACAGCGCGTGGCGGCGCACATCGGTGCAACACGATAGATCGGATGTCGGAGGCGCTCACCTGACCCGTCGATGTCGGCGTTAGCGGACGAGCACGGACGGACCGACGACGCAAGCAGGCAGGCGCGCACACCACACGGACACACACACACACGCACAGGCAGCAGCAGCAGCGGCGGCGGCGGCGGCAGAGGCGGCGGCGCGTCGATGATTTGTACACTGCGGTGGAGCCGTCGGCGGCGCGCCTTCCTCACACGTCTATCTCGTGACTGGCGCCCGAGAACTGCAGCACCGCGTACTCGGTCGGCACGTAGTCCTTCTGCACGCGGCTGGGCGCGCGGCACACGTCGCGGTACTCCAGGTCGGCGTACACGGTGCCGTTCTTCACGTTGTAGGTCATCGGGCCGCGCGGCTCGGGCCCGGCCGCGCCTTGCCGGGCGCCGTGCGGCCGCGGCCGGTGCGCCGGGTTCAGCGCCGGCTGACTAGTCCGCGGCCGGGACGCCCATGGCTCGGCGGCCGGCAGCCGCGCCGGCGGCTGGCTGCAGCTATAGAAACCGCGGCTGGCCAGCGGGTGCGGCGGGGTCTGCAATGGGCCGCGGCGGGCCGGGCGGTTAGTAGGCGGCAGCAGGCGCAGGGAGCCGGACGGCGGCGGAGGGTTAGCGGCACACACACGAGGACAGCACTACAGTCAGGGGACACGGCACTGGGGAGCTTCAGCCGGCCGGCTGTTGTAGCTGAATGGATAATGCGATGGACTTTGCTTCAATGTTGTGGTCCGTTCTTGCTCTGAGTTTTTAGGACATTGATGTCGGAAGTAGAAGCGATTGAGCTGGTTGGAGCACAGTTATGAAAAACATGCTGACCCGGAGGACATAACTCGCTCTTGGCGTGTATCTATACAGGGAGAGTGATCCCGTCTTAGATTGTCTGGTTCATGATTTCACGATATTTCTCGATCACTTTGAGGGATTGAAAGTAGCAACACACAGAAGTGCAATTCTATGGTCTTATACTGGCAACGAAAGCGAGTTTTTGGGAAGAATTTGAGAGACAGCGCGACTGGTAGTTACTCTAGCGAAGGACCAGAACAAGTGGAGGGAGCATATGGAGGGAGCAGGAAGAGGGAACAGACGGACCGGAGCAGGCGGAGGGAGCAGGCGGAGGGAGCAGGCGGAGGGAGCAGGCGGCGGGAGCAGTAGCTGACAGCCTCTGCACAACTGGTTCTGTACAGCGGCTGCGCCTACACAGAGTGCTGGGGGGACACACGGCAACACACAGGCCCAGACTGGTCCAGCGGCAGGCCAGGAGACGTCACGCACAACGACCACCAGCTGGCTGAGGGGCGGGTGGTGGGAGCTACAGAGCGGTGCAGTGGCTCATGCTGGAGCTAAGCTCGGACATACGGTGAGGTAATGGTGCGCTCGGGCGAACGTGAGCTAAGAACGAGCGCGCTGGCTCAAAGGCGAGCTCGCCCCGCCCGGAAGTCACTCACGTGAGACGTACACGAGGCACGTCGGAACGTACAGTTCGGGGTTTAGCTTGGGAAAGACCAAACGCTGTCTGAGACGCCGTGCGTGGACGGGCTATGCAGTCGTCGATGATGCCGCTTGCCAATCACGGCACACATCGCCTCTAGGCTTTGCCGTTCCCATGAGACGCATCAGCGATATCTCGAGCGTTACTGGCTGATAGATTTTACAGGTTCGGTGATCAGTGATGGCTTGTATATGAGAACAAATGATGTGGGAGGGGGATGGGGGGGAGATGGACTACGCAACGAAGCGATGTCGGAAAACGGCGGCAAATGAAAGAACAAAAGACTGAAAGCAGCAAACAAACCTGCTCCCACATCTCAAAGGAGTCCCCTTGCCGCTGGCGCTCGGTCTGATTTTGCGCCTGTTGCTGGAAGTCCGCCTGGTTCTGCGCCTGCCGCTGGCGCGCTCTGTGTCCTCTGTACGGCAGGCTGAGGTTGTGGTAAGGCGGCTTGGCGGCCGGGCCTCGTTGCGGGGGCGTGGGCCGCTCGCAGTCGTTATTGTTAGCCTCGCTCTGCGTGGTCTTGTCGTGCGTGGTCGGCGTGTCCGGCAGGTCGGGCGACTGCGGGATGGGCAGCAGCTGCTGTCCGTGCCGCTCCGGGTCGGCTCGCTGCGACCGCGTGGATCCGTACTGGAAGCTGTGCTGGGAGCGCATGGAGCCGTACTGCGGGTTGCCCTGGGAGAAGGTGCTGCCGTAGCCGGAGGAGCCGTTCTGACTCAGTTCGCTTGGTGGTCGACTCTGGCTACTGTCTGCCGACCGACCTTGGCCGCCTTCCGTGGACTGCGAAACCAAACAGAAGCGTGCCTACAAGCCGAACACAACAGAAGCATGCAAACCAAGGACACACGCCTTCTGTGAGCTAGCACACTCTCACACACACGACACGCCAAGCGGCAAGCACTACAACTCAGGCAGCACAGCATGCAAAACGCAACGCCAGTGGGGATCCTCACAGGCGCTCACCAGAGAACGGCAGCCAGTCACAGATACCGGTAGTAAGTTTATATTCACAACAGCGATCCAGCGGATGTGATCAACCAAAATAATTAGATTAATCGACACTGATGGGAGTGGGACGGTGGCACCGTTAGCTCCATGCGCTGGTGGATTTCAAGATCCGTACGGAGGCGCGGCACCAGAGAGCGGGTGGACGGCGCAGGTCGACCACTCACCTTGGAGGGCGGCTGCTGCATACCGTGGAAGGGCAGGTTCTCGTAGACAGCCCTGTCGTCGGGCGGGTGGGCGCCGTTTGGGGAAGACTTTGATTTGCTCGGGTCGCCCACTGCAAGACGCGCCGGCCTGTTACACCCACTGGCAGCGGCGGCGGCGGCGGAGAGGAGAGAGAGACAGAGACAGAGACAGGGAGCCGGAGACGACAGAGACGGACACTGGAGGCCCAGACAGAGACAGAGCGCGCGCTAGTGGTGCCAGGAGGGGCGCGGAGGAGGCGGTTCAAAACGCGGCCAGGTGCGGGTAGAACGGGCGCCGTGACACACCGAAGTGCTCGCTACGCTACTCGACACACATGAGGCGACTGTACAAAAAAGGCATAGATGAGCAGATAGAGTGGCTACAGCACGAACCACATCTACACTAGATAGATTCCGTAATCGCCTGCAAAGAGAGAAGAATGAGGGGCGCGTTAGAGCGGTGAGCTGAGAGAGTTTGCGCGGACAGAGGACAGCAAAACTGATAAAGGGCATAATCTCATGAGCAAGGCATTTGAGCCAGAGTTGACAGAATGCACAATTAAGCAAATCAGTGGTGCAATGCACGCGTTTTTATCAATAATCGAGTTTCATCGAAGGTACTGAATAGATACCGAATCCTGATCGATGTATTTTGAAACGCTCTTTGTAGAATAAACGTCGCTAGCTTGCCAGTAGGCATCAAGGAAGGAAGCGTCCACATGCACACCACACAACAAACACAGTAGCTTGCACGGATTACAATAGAATATCACTTATGTACTAGCCATAAAGCATGCCAAGACAAGAACTCCTTACCTGTGTCCAGGTTGTCCTCCTTTGAGTCCGAATCCGTCTCCACCCTCCTAAACGTTACAACTACAAGCAAAATAATCGTGGTTAGCAAACGTAACAAACAAAATGGGCTAAGGAAGCTCGCAAAGGCAGCCTAGTACGGGATGCGGAGCGAAAACAAACGAATGGTAATACCCAGTGGTGTCCATCTGATGTGATTGCCTCACGCAAGCATGTGACCACAGCAGTGCCTGCCCGAGCATTACGTTTAGGAAATACCCTGCACATAGTGCTATGCCAACAGGCCCAGCGGTGAGAGGATCAATTACCGACATTTAAGTATTCTAAATTTTGAAGTCGTGGGGGGCTTGACCAACACACATCTAAATCCCACCGTCAAAGTTCAAGACCTGGTCCAGAACATGGCTGATGTAAATGCCAACAAGGCTCTTTGAAATGTGACGGCTTCCGTCAAAAATATCAACCATACCCTTTCCCTTGCATGTCCATTCCAGCAACACTAACGCATAAACCACGCGCCGATGAAATGTTGGGTAAACATGACTCGCATTAAACCCCCGGGAGCAGAAAGCTGAGGAGGCGCCACTACACCCGTGTGAAGCAGAGTTCAAACGGTTCACCACCGACATTACCGGCTACGATTGTGGACACCACCGCCTGAGACTGCCGCTGACTTTGAGCGACTGTTTCAGGAAGCACCTGACTGCCGCCGCTGTATTGCACTGCATTGCGCATTTACTGTAACTAAGATGAAAAGAAGCTCTGGAGAAAACTTAAAACCATCGGTTTTTGGTCAAAAGTGCGCTTCTTTCCACCGGCATTAAGCGCTACCACATGAATACGCTAATCCTAATAGAACTTACGTTGTTTTCTTTAAAAAACATAAACGAGACAAAACTACTTCCGGCAAAGTCGAAATACCGCTCTGGAAACGCGGAAAAAATGAAACAAAACATGTCCCAACAAAATGAACGTGCGAAGTTTCCTGGACAGAAATTGTTTTGCACCTTTTTCCTGCGTCGCCGGCGGGGCGGCGACGTCGGGCGGCGCGTCGCTGAGCTTGGTGAGCGACTGCACACTGGTCACGTGCACGTGCACACCGGGGCGGATGGGCCACTTGTGCAGCGGCTGGACGCCCTGGCCGCCGAGGCTACTGCTGGTACCATCCGGACTTCACGGACAAGCACACGTGCGGGTCAGGACAACCGGTCCGCGTCACGCGCCGGGACACGCTCACGGCGGCGCGCCACACCTCGCCTTTGGAGCATCGGAGCACTGGCTCTTTTGGGCTGGGCTGGGTGTAATGCAGAAATATGAGGCTTTATGGCTCTGTAGGCTTTGTTGCCTCTGCAGGCTTCGATGCCTCAACATGTGGCCAGTGAAAACTGTCTCGACGAACCTGTGCAGCCTGCCTCAGATGTACATTTTGGCTTAAGCGTGTCCGATACTCCAAAAGCGAAATGGGACTTGATTGCTGTTATGTCAAAACACACGTGCTAACATCAAGCAGGCAACGTCAAGCACACCGAACTATAAATGCTTTACCTGTGTTGTGAACTTTAAAGGTATCTGTCCAGAAAACAAAAGTTGTCAAGTCTCCCATCAATCAACAAAGGTTCCAAAATGAAAGCCACAAATATGCGTAGAGCAAAACCTCACACGACATTTCTGCGACCCCAAAAAAGAAAAGTGTATGCGGCATCCTTATCGAATGAAATTCAATGGGAAAATCGACTGACCCAGAAATAAAATGATATCTATAAAATAAAACAATGTGGCGTATTCCGTAAGAAATAATCGTTAGTAACATGGTAATTCTCGAAACGCTTTGCACGGTGATGCTGCTTTCAGGACAAAATGAATGATCGTTTGGGGCCCTATCCACGTGGATTTGGGAGCATGCCAATGGCGGATACCACACACACTGTTCTTCTCCGGGGAGGCGTATTTGCCTGGAGCGTTTGGGCGCTGTTGATGCGGCACGCACTGTCCCATCCGCGCCGTTGACCTCTGAGTAGTGGAGCATATGTACATACCGCGGAGCACGAAATGAAACAAGAATGCCAAGCGAGAACAAATTTCCAGGACATGCTGGAGAGGATGCCGGCGGCGCGAGGAGCCGCTCTTGCGGCCGGGGCGGAGGCCACTGAGCGAGCAGCAGGCGGATCATGCCGTGGTAGCCGTAGCCGCGCGGATCGGAGCAGCGAGACAGGCAGACAGCCAGAGGCAAGCCGAGTTACCTGGCTGCTTGACGAAATCGGGGTTGGACGGGGGCCCGGGGAGCAGAGAGGGCCGCATCAGAGCTCTGCCCTCTCGTCGGTAGAAGCTACACGGACAGAGGGCCGAGTCAGACGGGGTCTCTAGGGAGGAGCAGTGCCCGCACCAGCCCGGCCGGCGGCGGCGGAGGCGGGAGAGCGCGCGGCGTCCGCGCTCTCGCCCGCCGCCCCGCCTCGGGCTCGTTCGCGCCCAGGTGGGACGGGCTGGCGGCGTGACCCCCGTGGGGTCACGCTAGACCACGGCATGCCCCCGTGGCTAAATGCAGGGTCGTTAGTTTCTAAGAAGGGTACACCGGACCACGAAGGGAATAATGCGGCCCGACGCGCGGAGACAAAGAAGTCAAGACTAGGGGCGTGGGGAATGACAGATGTACCAAAACCTCAGAGTGCATCGATAGTCATAAGGTAGGCGTAGAAGACCACACTTATGCAATGCGTGTGTGGAGGAACATTATTTATGTACTCACTTTTCTCTCTCCTCTAGAGCATTCGGCGCGCCGTCTAGCGTAAAACAAACAAACAAAACTGTTAGCCGCTATCCAAAAAGAACGCCACGACACACAAAGCAGAGGGCTAGTACAGACCAGCTGGCGGTGTTAGTGGCAAAACTTGGCGAACAACACAGCAAAGTTCACGGCAAGGACATCACAGGATGCATCACGCAGGATGCAAACCACGTATGCAGGTTGGCGCATAAAAAGGAACAGGTACCCGGAATGTTTTGCATTCGTTCCACATTTGCTCTGAAGCAGCCGTCATTTTCCATTCGTTTTCTTATTACCCTGTATCGGCGTGTTCAAATACTGCATTATGAATAAAAATGATCATGATAAATAAACGTTAAATTTTAGTGTGACTATACCATGATGAATTTGTTGATTCAGATAAGAAGGGTGACCACATGCAACTTATGCAACTCACTTATGCCTGTACGACCATGTGTAACATTATTTGATGTAAGCAAAAAATGTCTTAATATCCTGTTTTTTTCGGCATGAGTTCATAGTTCTTATGCTGACAATTGTCGGTCTTCAATATTCTACGAGGTACAGGTAAAACGAGTTTACCTAGCAAACGCTGATTATATTGCCAACGCTCGACGTTTCAAGCTGTAATTATGACAAGTACTCAAAAGCACAGCTAGGAAGGTCGAGTGTTGACAATACACCGAATGTTTACTTAATAACACGTTCAATTATAGCCTCGTGGAATATTAAAGGCTAATAACTGTTGGCATAAGCAAGTCTGAACCTCTTCTGCAATAATATTTCAAAATACGAAATCGATCGACGACTGCCTGTGTCCGCCTGGGGCACGTTCTGCAGGTTTGCATCATCAGCAGCTTGTCCTGGTCGGGCCGGAGCGGGAGGGGGGGGGGGCTGGGGGGGGGGGGACAGGAAAAGAGGAATATGGCTCATCGCACGGCGATCGGCACTCACATTTATCCTTAGCGCGCTTGCGCCGGCAGCAGAGGATGATGACGATGCCGATGATGAGGAGCAGCACCAGCGCCACGACGACCACCACGATCACGATGATGAGGCTCATGTCCCCCAGGCGCATGCCCCAACCGCTGACGCCTGTCAGCAGCGTCAAACGATCCAGGCGTCGAACTAGCTCGCTCGACTCGCTGCGACAAGCGGCAACCTCGACGGGATTGAACGGCTTCAATTACCAGCCTGTCGACGACCACAAGTTCCGGGATTTAAGGGTCGACGCTTGTTGCTGGGCACGAGCGACAGATTCTGTAGCTGGTGTTCGCTGGCCGCAAAGTTATTCTTAGTGCCACATCCGGGAACACTGAGTATGAGTTTACCAATCCTGGTAGTTTCAGGATGTGGGAAGAGTGGTTTCTTTGATTCAGTCGGTCAAGCACATCAGCGATTAAATGACTACGGTGCGCTGAAGCTGAAACCAGCCTGCACTGTACCCGACACTGCGGTCATCATTACGAGATGGCGTCTCACCACGGCGCCCCCTCTGCTTCTCACCCCCCCCCCCCTCAATCTGACCCCGAACCCACCGGCAACGTCGATCTCGCAGGGCAGGCCAGGGCCGATCGAGTTGTTGACCAAGCAGTAGTAGGTGCCGAAGTCCCTGCTGCCCGGTCGCACGGTCAGCGTGCTGACGGTGCCCTCGGTCCGGATCCGCTCCGTCAGCGTCTCGTTGTCGAAGCGCCAGGTGAAGGTCACGTCGTCGGGCACGGCGTCGACCGTGCAGACGAGCAGGTACTCGCCAGTCCTGCTCCATCTGGCCGATGCTGCACTCGGGAACGTCTGCGTGCGAGAGCACAGCGCTGTTGTGAGAATCAGCTTCCCTGGCTCTCTGCAGAATGACCATCGAAACCTTATCGAATGACTTCAAAAATGCCTATGCAATAATCACGTCAGTAATTATGTATCTACCAGAAGATATATTTGCGGCTGGCGGGTGGCTTGCAATAACTGCGTTGTCTTTGACTTTAGCATGTAGAGCTTGTAGCGACCCACAAACTCACGCTTCCAGCCTGCGACCCCGGTGCCGACGACGGTCCCATCACTCACACATGACGTTGACGAAGACTGGCGTGGAGACGATGCCGTGCTTGTTCTGCGCGTGGCAGACGTACTCGCCGGCCTGTTCGCGGTTTATGCCCTCGTGGAAGTTCAGATCCAGCTGATCGCCAGTCTGGATGGGCACGTCTCCTGCCAGCCCAGAGCAGGCGGTGATGAGCCGCGACCAGCGTGACCACAGCAGGTGACACAGACGGGAGACGGCTCAGCTCCGTTGGACAGACCAATCTCGCCCGGAGATGGCGTGTGGGGGCAAACACGGTGAAGTTGAGGCTTCTGAGAAGCAGAGCTGAGAAAAGCTAACCTCAAAATGTCCACGACGTGTCCACAAAACAACGCAGGTCAACGCAGGTCAACTCCACCTGATCCGGATAAGCGACAGCGACCGTGACTGGCATCGCTGCCGGCCCCTTCTCTCCGCAGCTTACCGTGTTTCCAGATGTAGGTGGCGGCCGGGTACGCGTTGGCCGTGCACCTAACGGGGGAGGGCTTCTCTCCCTCCACCACGTCCACGACCGGCAAAGTAACGGCGATGTCCTCAGGTGGGTCTGTCAGGCGGAGCACCAGCCAGGGTCAGAGAACCGGCAGGGCTTCCGAAACGCTTAGACGATTACAGCGCAAGAGCCAGAAAGTATTATGTGATGTGCGGCGTGCAGAAACGGGGCGGCGGCAGGGAAGTGCGCACCTAAGCAAACGGTTCTGGCGATAGGCGTATTTACGGTTTTGAACGCACTCTGTCATCTGATGCATGGGTCGGACGGCAATTAGAGATCACGAGAGGGCTGCAATAGGTCGCAATTAGAACAGGCTCTACATTTCAACGGGAACTATGCAAATTAGCTATTTACATAACGTTTCGTATTTTAGAACCCAACGCCGTGAATTAGACGGAATTGTTGGACTCGGGGCAGGATTTCTGGTGATTAATTATTTGGCAAGCGTTTGTAACAGATAGAGCACGGCCCTGGTGGCATTTCACGCCGGCAGTAAACACTTCCGCCGAGCTTTATCACCACTCACACTCGACAGTGAAGAGGGTGGTGCTGCTGACCCCCGGCCCGACGGTGTTGGACGTGCTGCGGCAGGTGTAGTTTGCGTTGTCCCGGACCCGGTCCAGCGTCTGGTTGGGCCAGGCCGTCATGTTCCAGGTGAGGGTGGACACGACCGACTCGAAGTCGTTGGTCCGCGGGTCCGGCTCCAGGGCGCCCGTCTTGATCGAGTAATACGAGCCGTCTTCAATCACCTGGTGATGTGAACCGAGACAAGCGTGAACGACATGCTCTCCACTTCATCTATTTACACATCAAACACGAGTGGTGTGGAGCCCACGAGCCCAGGTCAAACCTTGGGGGCTGCGGCTATCTTTTAAAATAGAACCTCTTCAACGGGAGGACACTGGAGCATTTCAGTACCGTGGCGGGACCGGTGGCAAAAGATGCAGCCTCTTTGTGCGTGCAGGTCAGTAAACTTGTCTCCGGGTCGACACTTACCTGGTCGTCTTTGAGCCACTCCAGCTCACAGAGAGGTGAGCACTCGACCCTGCAGGTGACGGCGATGGACGACGAGTTCATCAGAGCCCCCATGTAGAGGGGGAGGCGTTCGATGAACTGCGGCTTGGCTGTTGACAAAAGGTCGTCTATTTACGTGTGTTCCGAGGAAGAGCGCCGGCCGATTGTCTTACTTCGCCTAACGCCGTACAAAAACTGCGCCAAGAACCCGTTTGTGGACGCGTCTCGCCGCCCGGATGCGCTCGATTCACCACAGCCCGGCACCGCTAATACCGTCCGGGCGATCAATGCCATCTAAGCCGTACCCGCTGATCCTAGTCACCGATCGAGCCCTGCGCCCTGCGGCCGACACCTCCCGCGGTGTGTCTCGCGGTGCTCTCAACCGCGGCTGTCTCATTACCGCTCCGAGCGCCTCGACTCGGCCGCCCTTGGGCGCACGGGCAAAGTTGCAGCGGTTTCCCCGAGTTTGCATCGCGCAAGATTGGCTCATTATCGCGAATGGGCACGGCGAGGACCTGGCCCGGTCTGGCCGGCGCTAATTGCTTCAAGGACGCGGCCGCTGAGCGGCGGCTCGAGTTAAGCTCGGCGCCAGCTCACTGGACTGGCTGCGCTCCGTCTTCCGGGGAGCCGGGCTGGCTGTCGCCCAGCTGGCAATCCCGGCTGGCGCGGAGGCGACCCAACTCAGCGGCCAGTTGACGGCTCTGGCCGCCGCTTACGCGGTCAGGAGAGCGGCGTCCGTCAGGCCGTCCACCCCCGTAATTCGAGTCAGCGCCAAGTGAGGCCGAGTGTGAGCCAGACCGGAAGTGACCTACCCAATCAGCTTGGCTTGAGAGCCTGTTCGCGTCGAGTCCCACCACACACTGCTCCCGGTCAGTTTACGGGGACTGCCGGCCTCCGCGGCGCCGCATCATCTCTGTCTCCGACACCCGGCGAAGCTTCACCGGACCTGGCCCTCAACAAGCCAAATCCGAGTGGCGATCACCCGATGATACACGACGGACCCGACCGCACAAACGACAACCGACCACGCGAAGCCCATGTCCGACCATGTGATCGGCAAAAGGCAGATCCCATCACAACAAGATCACTTCCAATCGCAGCGGTGTACGCTTGACGCACGGAGCGGAATAGCCACGGCAAGCGAAGCGCCGTTAAATTCCGAATCATCACCACACACACGTCACACATCCGCCGGCATGCGATGGCAGAACCCACCCCCACACACACCCAACCCCTCCCCACCCCCCAGCTGGACCCGACCCACCCGTCCGGCGCCCAGCCAGGTGCTCTCCGATCCGTAGGTCCGCTCCCGTTCGGAGCGTCACTCACTGAGCACGTCGAGTGCCGCCTGTCCCTCGCCGCTGCTGCCCGCCTGGTTCATGGCTACGCAGCTGAAGTTGGCGTCGTCCTCCAGCGACACCGTGCTGATCCGCCACGTGTTGTCCGTCACGTCCGTGATCACGTGGTTGCCGCGCATCCAAATGTACTGCGGGCCCATGCACGGCCGTTAATGTGGCGGAGTCGCGTGGTCTAGCCAGCCAGCTCGCTGGTGACGGTGGCGCGGAATGGTGAGGTGGTGCAGTGCAGGTATATGTGAGCAGGCGCGATTTGATGATGGCGGAGAGCGATGAACTGATCGGATTCATTGTCCCACTCGCGTGGAATGCGTTTAACTCGCGACTGCACCAACGTGACCTCATCACTTCATCACCACGCGACTGCACCAACGTGACCTCATCACTTCATCACCACGCGTCTTTGTTCACTGCCACTGCATGATAGAGCATAGAATGTAACTCATCGTCAGTCTCCATTCCGTATGACCTCGTCAACCGATACCTTGCTTGCCGGCGGATATCCCGGGTCATCGACTTCACAGGTCAGGGTCACCGCTGACCCCTTCAGTACGGTGGCTGGCTCATACACCAGCGCCGCCCCAAGAGGCGGATCTGCAGCAGAAACGATTGCCAGGAATCAACACGAGTCATACGCTTGTATTCCTCGTGAACAAAACGGGGACGGATTCCATTGTGAAATGTGATACACATGCTGTGCCAATGGGACTGCCATGGGCCTATCAGTTCAGTGACAAGTCACGGACTTTGTTGCACTGCGGCACAGAGCGAGGCTTCTGAACGAAGTTCGGAACCCGTTAAAATCCCTAATCGGTTGGTCTTTAGTGATCCAACTTCCTACTCCAGACCTATTCCAAAGGGCGGAGTTTCGCCTGCAGTATGAACTGTTCCGCTTGTCACAAGGAACCTTCCGTGCAAGTTTTCCGAGCCATTTCATTTAGCGCAGCCTGGCATTTCGCGTTAATGACTTCGCCAAGCATTGAAACGCGGGACCACGCCAGGAAAATATATCTCCGCTGGTCATTTGTGCCACGGAATTGGCGGCGGCGGCGGCGGCCAGATGCAGAACAGCGCACTCCCCCCCCCCCCCTCGCCCTCTCCCATTCAGGACATTCGGGCAGGTCATTGGCTACTCAACCAACCTGCCCTGGATCTTGCACAGGGCACTTACTGAATTGGAGGCGGTTGCTTGGGTACTCACAGTGAATGATGAACTCCTTTTCTGTCGAGACCGGGCCCCACCCAGCTGAGTTCATGCCCGAGCAGCTGTAGTTGGCGAGAAAGGTTCTGTCCACCTTGAGGAATATCATCTCGGCGGGGTTGGAGTTGCAGAAGTCCTCGTTGCCTTCATCCAGGCTGTCATAGGCCAAGCCTGCGCGAAGATGGGGGTGTTTGCATGAGTTTCCACGGCGGTTCCAACTGCTGTGTGGTATTTTGAATCATTCGGGCTCTATAAAAATTATGAGCTTTGTTGGAACCAAATCTGGATGGCTGACTATTCCTAAAAAAGCCGACTCACTAATGAGATGTCGAGCAAATACAACTGGACATCTAACGAGGAGGGAGTTTACTGGGAGGACAGCTGGCAAAAAGCTCGTATGTCTTGTCGTTCCAGGCTGACACACATCCTGAAAACAGCGCCTACCGCTACCCGCTCACCTGGGTCGGTGTCGTTGCACTCGGGCAGCTCGCGCAGCAGCTCGCCGTCCAGGTACCAGCGCACCCCCAGCAGTTCGGCCGGCTCGCCGGCCGTGACGTCACAGCGGAACGTCACGTTCTCCTGGTCAGCCTCGATCACGCTGCTCGGGCTCATGGTGAGCACGACGTCCGGGGGGACTGCGGCAGGGGGAGGGGGGGGGGGGCGAACGTGACTTGGGTCAGCTGGTGGGCACACGGGAGATGCGGGGCCTAGCTGATGCTCACTATCGCACAGCGAAGCGTGAGCGCTTAACCCTGTGCTGTCAGCTCATACTCGCCTTGTTTATTATTGTTGCCAGAGCGTTAGGACGCTTTCATGCCCGAAAACTTGATAGCGATGGCCTCTTATTATAATTTGCATGAAAGGATCCGTTGTCGATTATTGATTGACACTTGTGGGCTGTGCCTGCAAGGGCAAGTAACTAGCTAATGAGCTGCAAAATTTCCTGCGCAAATATATTTTTCAGAACAGGTAGGGACACACAGGTTTGTGCCATTTTGTGCATTGTGCCAAAGCTATTAGGCCATGAAAACTGCGAGTTGAAACTTTGCGTCAAATGTTACCGAAACACCTCGGAAAGAATACGATACATGAAGTTATAATAGACCAGGACTCCGTTGACACCAAACGGACCCGATGGGCCCCCATCTTGGCTGATCCTGTGCTATGGTTAGGTCTGCGATGCAATACACGTTCAATTTTGACTTCAACTTTTCATATTCTCAGCTGGTGGCTTGGCGGACCTGAAGCGCATCATCAGATCTGGCGCCCACGAACGCCAAATCGCACGCTGCGGAAGCCCATCGCTGCTTGCGCGATGAAAAAGCTATCTAATGGTTCTCCAGGGGAAGGGCAGAACTTCACTTTTGCAAAGTGACATCCGGACCGGAAGAGCCGGAAATCCGGTGCCGCGCAGCAGCCGGACGGAAATAACATATTGCTGCAGTTCGCAAAAGGCTACGTCAAAATACACCGAATCCCTTCAGTGTGTTCATCGCTTTGTTAACACTAAACGATATGCGTGTCTCATAAACCATTACTGCCATTAAAACAACGCTGCAGTACTGTGCTCCCAAGCATGGAAACGAGACACTGATGTCGCCGCGCACCAGATCTTACGAAAGCGGAAGGGGACCGTACAGCGGGAAACGGATTTTAACTGAGCTAAGCCAGACCAGCCCACAAGTCGTAAAGGCGCTGGTGTGCGCATAGTCCGCGGAAATTGGCACTAAGCGATGTTGTCATTTGGGGGCAATGTAGCAGACAGAAATAATGACAACAAAATAGAGAATAACGGGTCTTGAAACGGCTAGGAAAGGGGAGGGACGAGCGAGAGACAAAAGGGTTAGTCGTGCCGCCGTGTTCTCGCCCCCAGAGTCTATGAAATTAATGCTGCGCGTAAGACGCTGTTCTGAAACGGTAGGGTATTACTGAACACGGGCCGCCGTGATGAACAGTTTGCCAGCTCTGACTACTAATGTGCTCCGGTTGACGCATATGTTAGGCAATAGCGGGTGACGTCTTGCCAGACGCGGTGTGGTACGCTCTTTACGCGTTCTTCGAAATGCTATCTCTGTTGCTAGCAGAAGTGGACTGGGGGCTTGCTACAGGATGCAAGTTCCAACAACGCATTCTCGCAAAAGGCTGTCTGAAGGTATGGCAAGATTCCCATGTGACCGGCCCTGCATCTTTTGCTATCCTCACTCTCTCCGCGCCTCTCTCTCCCTCCAGCTCATCCGGCTTGTTTTCCGCGACACCATGTCTATCCGAGGTGTTTGTTCACCATATCACGTGCCAGTTTTGGTTTTGCCGCACAATTTTGTCCGATTACGCGAGAACTTTGCGGGGTCGTCGTCACTTCGCCGGTTGTGACATCGGGTAATTCGCAATTTCATATCAAGTTTCGGGGCGCTCTTTTTACATCTTGTTTGTCATTGTTCGAGGCGAGATGAGCCGGGGTGGCGCGGTAAACAAGGCGGGACTAGGTTCATAAAAAGATACTGGAATTTCAGCCACAACAAACCTCCTCCCTGGTGTACATACGTCAGCAATATTGGTGGTCTACTGGTCCTAAAAACAAAAGAATGAATATCGAATGGCTTAAGCAATTGATTAAATGGATTGATTTAGCACAACACATCTGCTTTTAACTAAAAGGCAAGTCTTGATATCCCACACAAAGACACTTTATGTTCCATTTACGCACTGTCCAGATTCTTCCCCATCTCCTTCCCTCAAAGAAACAAGGCGTGTGCAAGGTCTCATCCGGGGATGCATATTCCAGAGCTCCACCCAGCCCATACCCAACTGATGCACGTTTGTGACAGACGCGCATCCCTCTTTGGATTGCACCACGATTAGGAGGAGCATGAATTCTTTGGCGTGCACTGTACGGGAGCATCTTCGCCACAGCAAAGATAGAAAAGACGTGTTGCGATAAGGCCCTAAGCGTTCGCCGCCAGGTACTCACACTGGACGTGCACCACGGCCTCGTTGTCGGCCATGCCGCCACCGATCTCGTTGGCCACCTCGCAGCGGTAGCGGCCGGCGTCATGCCTGGAGGCGTTCTCGATGAGGAGCAACGGCTGCTCCAGGGTGCCTCCCTTGTACTTGTCCTCGTCAGTCAGGTCCAGCTGCCGGCCGCTCTTGTACCTGGCGACGAGTGGGGGAGCAATGGGAGCGATGGACTTGAAGGCGAAGTAGCATATCGATTTTGGAGACCGGACCCCGGCATGTCGCGAGAGCAGCGTTGCCAGCTGGAGAGAATTCGTACACACCGACGTCATGTCTGAGCTTAGCGATCCACTGCAATGAAGAAAGGAAAGTTCTTGGTGGCGGCGAAAGCCTGCTTAAAATCGTATGACTCGGTCGTGAAGAGGTACGCATCTACCTTCCACTGCGCTCCTCTCAAGGGGAGCAGTGGATGGACCAGCCCATCGCGTCTCTCCTCCGCCTCGGCTGGAGGCCCCGCTAACCACCCCGTCAAGACCGAGTGGGAGCTGCAAGAACTTGTTCATCGTCCAGCTAGCGGGATAGTTGACTATTCCACAACTTGGGTGCGGGTGGGCTAAAGTCGGGAAGATCCATGTGCAATGAGCTGAGGTGGCGAAGTTGCCGGAACGCAGACTTTTTCCAATACTGCTGCCGCTACCGAAAACAACATTCGAAGGAACGCGGTTCGGACACAAAGTGTGCGGTTCCTGCCTCTGCGTGGCTATACAGTCGTGTGGAAAATTGATATGAAACATGACGAAAATCGTGTTGGAAACATATACAGAACTGCCCAAATCAGGTAAAGTTGTTGCTTAAAACGTACCACAAACACATACGCATATCTAGATCTTGACCACCAAATGGTCCTGGATAGCCTTGGGATTCGAGGCTTCCTTACGGATGTGAAATGCCACACCCGCATGAAACCCTCAATTCAATTTCATTTTAGTTTTGTCTCACGCCCACATGGAAGCTCAACTTCAGATCCATTTAAATTTCATCATGAATGGTATGGTACGCCATGCCATTCACGACGATTTAAGTCCCTTTACATGCTTGGTCGTTATTCGTGGCCTGTTACATGCTTAGCTATCCATGCATTCCATGACGTCTCACGAAACCGCAACTGGCAGTGAATGGCAATCCACAGTCCACATCCAGTCCACAGTATGCCGTCGCTGGAGGCTGGCAAGACCCAAACATAATCGGCCGGTGAGACAAAATCAGACTTCGGCAGAACGACGCCTGCGCTAGCTGCAGAGCCGTGATCACAGCCCGGCGACAATTAGATCGAACGAACAGTAAGAGGCATGGCTGGCGGCGGATCAGGTGACAGCTGTGAAGGTTAGGCAGCTGAGCTGGCCAGTGCACGTACCAGAAGACGGCCGTTAGGTTGGTGGGGTTGGCGTCGTAGCTGCACAACAGCAGGATGTCCATGGACTCGTTGACGGTCACGTTGCTGGGCGTCACCGTCACAACAGGCGCGTCTGAGGAGTAGCCATTCGTGTGCGATGATTGCGCACCGCAGACTACTTCGGTATGGTCAAGTGGAAACTATAATCGCACCCTCAGAGCACACCACCGACCTTGTTGTTGTTGGAGTTACGCAGAGACAGAAACAAGGAAATTTGATGAAATTATCAACCAAGTGGACGAGTAACCACGCGAAGACTACCGTGAGGGCTTCACCGCGTTTTAAGCTGACGTTCCTAGCTGGTCAGTGCCTGCTCAATAACTGTCATACTCCAAGGTCAGAGCAAACTAATGCGATGCGCGCGAGAGCTAACATCACTTTTGACCAATCACATGATAAGTTCTCTCTCCCCCCCCCCTCTCTCTCTCTCTCTCTCTCTCACTCTCTCTCTCTCTCTCTCTCTCTCTCTCTCTCTCTCTCTCTCTCTCTCTCTCTCTCTCTCTCTCTCTCTCTCTCTCTCTCTCTCCTCCTCCTCCTCCTCCTCCTCCTCCTCCTCTCATTCTTCCTCTCTGTTTCTTTCTCTCTCACTCTCTCTCTGCATCACTTACAGAGCACTTCGACCTTGACAGGAGCCTGCAGCGGCGACTCAGCCTTGTTCTTGATGACGGCGTTGGCGGCCTCGCAGACAATGTGCTGGCCGTTCGTGGTCCGGTCGGCGGTAAACGTGTACCGGCTGATGGTCTCAGTGGTGCTGTCCGGCTGCCGGGTCAGGTCAGGTCAGCACAGGCCGGCTGGGTTAGCATGGTTCAGGCGGGGCGTGAAGTCTGGTAGCTTTGGTTCAAGTCAGGTCGGATCAGTTTTTGTCAGGTCATGTCGGATCACTTGGGAGAGTGATGCCAGGCTAGGTCAACTCTGGTCCACGCCAGGTTAGGTCACGTTGCGTCTAACACGCGCTAGACAGAGGCAGGTCGGGTCGAAACTGGAAGGACGCGTGTCGGGCAATCGACACCACGTAGGACGAAAGCTAGCAGATGGGCTCAAGTTGATGCGCTTCCTTGAGGTGCTCACTAAACAAGACTTATACCGTTCGTTTCAGTAAACCAATGGCGGTGCACACGTCGGAGGAAGCTGCGGAGAAAGTTTTCAAGTTTGACCCAAGGCACCAGTTTGAGCCCAAGTTTGATTCCCCTGAGGACTATGCAGACTGGATCTTAATGCTCTGAAAAGGAGCGGTATTTACTCCCGATCATAACAGTGCATGAAAACATTACAAAACTGGCATCAGTTTGGAATCTTAAACTTTGAACCGGGTTTCTATGGCAACGCTAAAACTCACGTATTCGCTGATGATCTCCCCAATCTATGAGCGCCAGACAAACAGAGCTTCGTCTTAGTACATTCTAACACATCCGGGAATATTTGCAGGCTTGTGATGGCTTAAAGGTGAGAGGATCGCAAGAAAACTGGCATGGCAAGTCAGCCTTATTAATCATTTGTAGTTTTTCATATTCCGTTGGCCGGGTCACGATAGATAGAGAAAGCCGACAGCTAGGGTTTGACCATGAACGACCCCAAAAACATACGTGACACGAAAGGTTGTCGCAAAGCTCCGAAGACTCGGAAACCTTTGGCACTCAGAAGCGAGTTTGCGCGTTCACATTGTTTGACAACATGTGCTATGAATAAGCATGGAAAAGCAAAGCGCCGGCGACATCTTATCAATGGCTCGATGCGGTGCGCCAAATTGAGAGGCGAACCATCGCTAGTGGTGTCCGCTCCCTCACCTGAATGCTGTCCGTGTTGGAGGTCTGCTCGGTCAGCTCCTGACCTCCTGTGAGCCAGGTGATGTTGGCTGCAGGTCGTGCCCCCGTGACCTTGCAGGTCAGGGTCACGGTGGCACCCTCCATCACAGGCTCCTCCAGGCCACTCAGCTCGATGGTTCGAGGCCGCACTGGGGAGCGTTTGAGGGTGACCATTAGGTCTCGCGAGGAAGACACTGGAGTGGACTTAAGCAGTCGACCAATTGATTCGGTCGTGGCGTGGCGGAGGCAAGTCATGGAGCGGAAGTGATCGATGGGCGTTTCTTGGAAAGAAATTAAGTCACCATATGGTCACTCGCCTAAACAGATGTTTCCCAAAGCTTTCGAGTTCCAGGGAAACGTGCTGCCTTTTGTCCGCCACATGAAATGAGACCATTTGCATGTTTGATGGATGTACGTAATGCGTGCCACTAACACGCTCCGTTACCCAGAGCCGGACGTTAACTAGTTTTGAACCACAGGGAAACGTTATTAAATCTGAAGTCGTAGTTGGCCGGTTTATGCTGCGTGATCTGAGTACAGCTCGTGCAGGTACGGGGGGAAGCAGCTGTCTGCAGTTCATCAAACCGCCTCCAGGGGGACGCATTTTCTTAGCCCGCGATGCGTTGCACCTTTCTCCCCAGAGACTAGGCCTAATGTGACTACAGTGCGCTTGAGAGATATAATCAAGCTCAAGGAGGCAAATGTAACAAAGTGCCAGCCGCTGAACGCTGGAAGAGAATTTCTTTTGGTATGAGAGACCTACGACAAGGAGAAGAACAGTTTCCCCGCAAAAGCATACGCATAGCACTGGGTAGATTAATCTCGGCTTTGTGCATAGCGCGCATTGTTCGCGGTGAATAATGCCATAATTGAGATACCCACGTGACTTATGATGCGGAGACTTCCTTTTCCTCTTCTTCGGAGATTTCCTCTGCCTTTGGATTAGTACGAGCAAAGCCGAAATGAGATGAAAAGTCTGCTTTATAAAATGTGGAGCATTCATTGACGTAAAAAACTGCTGAGTCCCGACCAAAATACCATTCATGCATACACCTCAATGCAGACAGCACCAGCTACAGCTTACCATGCAGATCCAGGTAGATCTTGGAGCGCAGTGGGTACTCAACGGCTGCATTTGTGGCCTGACATTCGAAGCCCGAGCCCAGGTCATGTCGAGTCAGCGGGACGCGAATGACGTTGGTGCCCAGTCCCGTGCCGTCCTCTGACAGGATGGCGCCCGCGTCCCCTGCAGGAGAGGACGTATGACGCTGGGGACACGCATTCTGCGACGGCCAACGCGCCGCCAGCCACGCCGCCGCACTTGCCCCGCACCGGCGAAGCACCCATTCAACACGAGGCCACGAGTCGAGCACACCCTGTTACGCCACTTCGGCACAGCCCTGCACGCCCTCCACGCGCGCTCCCGCAGAGTCCATCCACGGTGACAAATCTGCGCGTCCTTGACGGTACACGATGGGGGCGTCGTTTCCGCCCGCCCGCTCGAGCTCGGAGCCGTCCGCTGTGAAAGCTTTATACGCCTCTCCGTCGGCGCCGCGGCCGGCCCGGTAACTTAGCGCGCTCCAGAAGCGTTGAAAGTGGCGATTGAGTTCCATTTTTATTGAGGGAGGGCCCTCGTAAAAGGTTATTCACGATGCCGTCCGCTTCGAAAATAACTTTACATAAGCCAACATCTTGAGCGGCAGAATGACAGGCTCGTCTTGGCGCGCCGGCTGGAAACTCTTCCAACAGCGATTTCTGCTCAGGGAGACGAAATCGCATTTTATAGTCGTTTTGCGGGCATAAAAGCGCATGGGCGTGGTCGGCTTATCGGAGTCGGTTCAACAACCAGGGCAAATTTTGTCTGGTTGCAACAGAGCTTTCTCCGGTCGCTCGATTCCTGTGGTGAGCTCGACCCGAAGAAGGCAAGCGCGTTTTTCGACTCATCAGAGCGCTGCTTGGCTCCCACGCTGATACGCACATTGGGGATGAGTTTCTTGTGTCGCACATTATATATATATATATATATATATATATATATATATATGCGTGTGTGTGTGTGTGTGTGTGTGTGTGTGTGTGTGTGTGTGTGTGTGTGTGTGTGTGTGTGTGTGTGTGTGTGTGTGTGTGTGTGTGTGTGTGTGTGTGTGTGTGTGTGTGTGTTTGTATATGCCTACATTCTGTCACTGGCTGCCACTGATGGTAAAGCTCATCCGTGAACATGACCTAGAAGTCACGGAGACCGCACCAGCCATAGATCACCGGAAGCAACCCCTCCGTATTTATTGCGCGACGCTTACGAGACATATGGGCGGAGTCTGCCGTCTGACACCGCCCATACGGCCGGCTGCGCAGACTGGGGCAACCAAGAGATGGAATGCTCCAGTTGTCTGCGTGATGTAAAGCCATGCTCCTCGAGGCTCCAGCTGCCGCCGCCTGGCGGTATCGGACCACAACTATGCCGGCTCCCCAGGAGACGTTGCTCTGTGTTTGGGCTTTAAGCGCACAGCTTATGATGCGGGCTTCAATCGGCAAGGAAGCATTGCCGGGCACGCTGCATGGTGAGCGTGTCATGATGTCTCACAGGATCTATCACGACAGCGCAACGTGAAGATGTAGTTCCATGTGCAGTACTTCCCACCTTGACTTTCCGCGGGCGGAGTAAAGGGATACAGGTCTCGTAAACCACAACCTGAACCCAGACAGGAATCATATCGTCATCTCTGGAGTCCGCATCGGAAACCGCTACAAAATTCAACGCATCGACCTCCATGTTGACGAAAAGGTGTCCATGACTGACCTCCCATGTTGACGGTGTCGTTCCACCAGGTCACGGCGGCGGCCGGCTTGCCCCCTGCCGACTCGCAGCGCAGCACCAGGTCACTGTCCTCCTCGTACGGACCAATCACGGAGCCGGGGCTGACCTCCGTGCCGTCCTCCAGCAGGATACGGATGCTCTCCGGCTTGGCTGTCGAGACAGACGCAGACACTAGAATGTAAGTTCTGACGCGCGAGCGGTGCACACGAGCACCAATGCAATGTCACAAGAAGAAAGTCGACCACTTCACCAAAGTCTGCAGTAATTGGTTACTAAGTAGGTTTTGCGCGCTGCCTTATACATAAGAACTCCCTCTGGGTGATAAAATCTCGACCCGCAACTTTGAAGATTAGGGTGGGCGATCATTCTTACCACTTTCCCCACATTGATTCAGAGACGCCAAGCAAAAGACGATGCGCAGCTGATGTGGTTTAGGTCAACCTTAATGAGGCTTAATGTCTTAACATGAAGCATTAAGCTTTCTCAGAGCGCAGGGCAGCCTTTTTACAAACAGAAAGGCATAAAGCTGTGTTGTGAATCAGCTCAGGCAGACAGTCTCCCTATGAGTAGCCAAATGCCAAACAACGTCGTTAAGATGGATAAATCTGGTTCACTCTGGGCAATCAGTGAATTATCAAAAGCTACTCGTGTGACTAGAGACTACCACTCCTAACCGTTTGGTCAACGCACGTGTCACTAGCCATGCCAAATTTTACAGCGCTACCTATTGCTGTTTTTCCGCGCTTACATCAATGTCAGTGTCACATGCAGTGTGGCTTCCTTCTCATGGTGATTCATATATTTATACATGCATATATATGTATGTATATATATATATACATATATATACATATATATATATATATATATATATATATATGTACATATATATATATATACATATATATATATATATATATATATATATATATATATTGCAGTCAATCGGGTACGAATTTATTGCAATCGCAAGACTAGCAGAAAGCTTTTCCAGTTCAAACTCAGCGTTCTTTTATCTTCCGAACATAGCATCGTGGGGGAGCGATTTTAAGAGCGGACGAGTCGAAGTTCCACACTCAGGATAAAGTGGTGCCTGAAAGGCTCGAATGACATTTGAATTGCAAGCAGTTGGCACAAGTGTCCACACTGCGAAGTTTCTGCATTATGAGCGCTTCTTTTCGCAGCTTCTCATTGGGCACGCCAGACCAGTTTGCTGCTGGGGCTAAGGCTTGCCCGGACTGGAAATGTCAGCTGATTGGTGCGCCTCCAAAACACGGAATATGATCCAGAGACAAACCGACTCGTCTGCACATTTTTCTGGAGTCCATCACAGCCGGGCAAACAATTCTACCTCAAGCGTCGAATGACAAGTGACCTACAACTGTCTAGCGCTCTTAGCGTGGTGACATCCGAAACCCTACTTCGGGCTTACCGAGTGTGGTGAGGTTGACGAACTGGATGACGGCGCAGTCGTCCCTGACCTCCAGGTAGGTCAGCTCGCACTTGTACAGGCTCTCGTCGTCCGGCCGCAGGTCTCGGATCTCCAGCTCCGTCGTCGACGAACCCTTCGCGTACTCAAAGTAACCTCTGGAATCAGTGGCCATGGCGAATATTAGAAAGCTTGTTAAGCCATGCCATGGTTAATCCCGCGTGTCGTGCTCAGAAACCACAAAAACCACGAGGATTACCTTGTTCTCATCTCATCTCAACTCATTGCGATGATCACTTACAAAGGCGTGAATGACAAGTCAACAGTTACAAAGTCCATACTTTGGCTTTGATCACAATAAAGTTTTAAATGCGTTTTTTCTGATATATCAGATATGACACACAGTCAATCCACGCAAAATGATTCTCTCACATATCCGCCTTTTTCGGCTCATTTAAACCTGAACTGGTCAGATCCATTAAAGCAAAACTATTCCCCAGAACTTAGCTTCAGTCCATCATAATACAAACCATTGCAGTAAAGTACACCAACGCGGCGTGTGCGGGCACATTGGATCCTTTGCAATTTGCTACCACCCGACTTCTCAGGTGTTCCAACGCCTTTGACAGCCTATTTTCAAATCCTGTGCGATCCTGATTCATGTGTTCTAGGTATTTTTTGGGGTTCATTCTATTCCTGCCGACGACTGATCCCAAATTTATGGCTTGATCTGTGCCTTGACATGCCAAAATATACGTGCCTTTACAAAAAAAAGCTGAAGAGCTATTTTAAGTAGTGTTAAGAACGCATCAGGGGACCTAGAACAGTAACTTGTTGCGGGCGTCGAATATATCATCAACTGATCACTGTAACTGTGTTGATTTATTGATCGATCACTACACTGTGTTTTGATAAAACCTTTGTTAGCGCAGCAAAGCATAAAGCAAGCCTACTTAAAAAAGAAATTAACAGGCGTTATGTAACGTTACCAAGTAATGCACGTTACCTAGTTGCCGTATTGACGCGAAACGCCTTAACAAAAGCACGGGATCTTTGCATTACTGCGATTCCCTCGCGAACTGTTTGCAGCACCACTGGCCACCAGCTCATCACGGGCCTTCTGCAGCTCCTGCTCATCGTCCGACCGAGGCAACCAACTGGCTCTGACATCGACGTCCCCATCGCTTACCAGCTGCGGCGGCATGCCGCACGAATTACGCCACCATCGTCGGTCATAAAGTCGCACACTGGACGGCGACCACGTGACCACTCGTCAGCGAAAATATCTCGCCCGCCATTTAACTGCATTTATGTAATGGAACAGTTCGGGCGCGCCACTCCGGTCCTTTCAGAGGACGCGTTCGCGGACCTTATTGGAATTCGGACGGTTCTGGGGATCTTTGTCGTTGCTTTGTGACAAAAGGGTGAGCTGTCCCCATTTGTCTGTGCAGACTGACAACGACAAATTATGGAAGGAGCTCCAAAAGTCGGGAGGGGGGGGGGGAACTCCCGCGGCCGCTCATTTAGATGACGATATTTGGGACTTATGCTGCGAACGGAGCGAAGAACGACGAGAAAACCAGTCCACAAAAACATCATGCTGGTTAACATTTGTACGCAAATGCTGCTGAACTTTGCACGCTTTGGCGCGCTGGGCACTTTTACAAACAACATAGCTTTAAGTTGCACTGTAACCTCATGCGAATAATAGAAAATAAAATATAAGCAACTCAGTCTGGTACGGAAATGTAGCGATGTACCATTTACGTATAACAAGGCTCGTTTCTAATGCAATAAGTAATCAAATGCACTACCCTTCCCATTATATGCCCTCGCCATTTGGCATCGCTGCAGGGAACTCTGGAACTATGCTTTCCTACCGCACGGAGAGTGGACTCTCGTTACACTAGCCGTAAGTGCACAGAGCCCGACATGACCTGAAGATACCCCGTCCAGTTCATAGCCCCTTTCACGACGGCTTAGTTCAAGGGAACAACACTTCCTGAATGAAAGTTATCAGCTGTCGTGATGACTTAAGCTGGAAAACTTTTGTTTCGTTACATTTAACAGCAGTTTTCATGCATTCACAATCAGACACTGATATACGCTCGCGTTTTGCGGTCGCTGCCTTTTGAAAATAGCTGCCGTGCGCGTACGTTCGGGTCATAAGAGCTGTGCTACCACTCCAAGCTCCCCGAGCCGATACATAAGTGCCTGAAAGCTATGTATATGCTCCAACTGACCCTGCAGTATTATCGAACAAAATAAAAAACTTGACTTGTCCTCGCGTTTCTATTTAGGGTATTTTCTTCCCTTTGAATGTGCTCTTTCCATTCTGTAACCACCCTCAAGCGAGCGAAATACTTCTGCCCTTACCTGCCGCGGGAATGCACGTTAGCCAAAGTTGTCTCCTCTCCTGACCTGACGTACGGTCTCCCCAACTAACGGGTATTTTACAGCCCAAAAACATCAGCCGTCTCCTGCTCTGGAGCACGATCTCTACCTACCCTGGAGACCAATTTACAAATGAATTTAGCCTTACTTAATCTGGAGAGTGCTGCTTTCCTCAGCAGTCATCCGGCCATCTGTTCTCACCTGCCCTGGAGCATGTTCTCGCTGGTGTCGACCTCGGCCAGTTCGGAGTAGATGAAGACGCGGGTGTCGCCATCACCGCGGTACCACTGAATGTTGTGCACGTCGCCGCACTTGGTCTCGTCTATCTCGCAGGGCAGCCGCACCTCGTCCCCCACCAAGCCGGTGATGTCGATCTGCTGCACCCGACCTGCAGAACAGCACACAGGTTCAGGTAAGATGAATGATGTCAACTACGGGATACCATTTCGAAAAGCTAGTTAGTGGCGGTTGAAGCATTTTGAAAGATGGTGGAAATGATAATGTTTTGAAAGGCTAGTGCAGGATGTCCCACCTTCTTAAACGGCAAGTCGAGTGCCTTCAGACATTTTGTTTGACTTATCCTATTTTACTACACCCACCTTCCACTCTCGCTTATTGAAACACACCCCAACGGCTCTATCTCAGAATCCCGACAAATTTCCCGACACATAACTAATCCCCGCGCTTCACTCGGCCGGGCCATATCGGCGCTGCCGTGACGCGGCGCCGGCTGAGCCGAGCTATACGACTGCCGACACTGGCCGGACGCCAGCCGCCTCATGAACGACACGCCGTCCGGCCCGCCGGCGGAGCCGCTGCTCAAGGGGGAGGGGTGGGGGTGTTGGCCGGAGCTGGGCGGACACCTAATGAGTTGGCACGCTCGGCTGCGCTCTGTCCATCGGGAGGAGAGCAATCGCCGCCCGGTCCGGCCGGCCCGCCTCGGGTGACGCTTACGGCGAGTCGCTCCTCCCCGAGGGAGTCAGTCGAGTCCCTCGCTGCCCGTAGAGTCGAGTCGGAGCCAGGGACCGGATGACTCATCGGCTGACGCTCACGAGGATTCGTTCCTCCCCGGATTGGGAATCCGGGACCGGAATGGCTCCGCCGCTGTGTCTTAAAATCCACTCATTTTTCAGAATTTGTATCTTATCCCGAAGGCACGACGAGTCACTCCGGGAGCAACCCAATCATCCAACGAGTCATACACTCAGTAGTGGCGAGTCATCCCTCACTGAACTCAGCGCCAAAGCCAGCTGACTCCTCGGCTGACTCTCCAAGTGAGTCAGTTTTCTTCGCACTCGCGATCCTGGAACCGGCCGTCTACTCAACTGCAGCTCACGAGTCACTCCACCGGGCCCGCAGGCCGGTTGAACCCGGCGGAATTGACTCTTCCTGAGAAGGGAGTCAACCTCGCTCAACCTCAACCCCACAACCTCCTGGTCGAGAGAACTGCTGAGCTCCTCCTGAGCTCGCCTGATCGCAGCGGGGCAGGTCAGCGGGCCATGGTGCTGGGCACGCGCTGGGCCGTCGCGGCCGCCCAGAGTAAGACACCCGGCGGCGGTAGCGGCGGCGGCGGCGGCGGCAGCGGCAGCCTGATTTTCTACGCAACCTGCGTTATGGATCGCGTATGGGATCAGAGCCGGGGCAAGCGGGGCTTCCAAGAGAAAATCATCTAGCAGCCCATCATGCCGGCGAGACCCCGAGGTCGGATTTCCATAATCAGCGCGCGAGGATGGGGTCCCCGCCACCCGTGCGTTTTTCTATCCAATTTGTGTCGGGCGTTGTCCGCGAACAAAGCCGGTGGCGAAACCAGGCGAAAGGCTCATCCTGGGTGGAACAGTTAAGGCATATTTCTGTGGCCCATGATAACAGCCTCCAAACGGTCACAGATGCGTCAGAGTGTTACGTAAAATTGGGCAGCTACAGAAGGGCGCATGGAGATTGGAGGGGTTCTGGGATAGAGGGTAACACAAAATTAAGTTCAGGACAGAACATTTGGCTTGATAAGATATGGAAGAATAAGACAAAGAAAGTATATGCTCTCTATGATATCATGGTCCTTACTTTTGATAAATGCTTCTCCGACGTACAGGTATGTCAGCTCAACTAGCGTAAATGTCTGTGGTTCCGGCGACCAGTACCAAAAGAGTGAAACCCTTACGTCCTCTGTCTATGTGAGTGAAATTCTAGCCCAAACCGACACCCAAAGTTTCATGCGTTGCTGATCGCAAAACTTGCAATAAAATCAGTAGGGCTCTGGTGGTTATTATACGAAGGCAGCATACAGACCCGCAGAAAATTGACATTGCGTTTGTTTTAAAGAGACGGGTTTAGTGCCGCCAGCAGACCTGGTGGTCTAATCAAAAAGAGCATGTGCCTCAATTATACTGTTTGAGCACTGCCAGGTCATCGTAGTTTGTGGTGCTCTGGAAATCCCTGCAAGTACCTCAAAACAAGTGCCGGTAAAACCAGCCAGCCAAGGCAGCTTAATTGCGGCGATACAACAGGCAGTCTCCTCAGCTCGGTAAAGGTTGTCGTGTTTTGCTTTTCCCAACTCTTCAACGGCTGGTATACTGACTTCTTAAGTACAACGGGCAATGATCCGACAACATAGCAATCCACCTGGCTCTGATTTGCTGCGCTACATGCGCTAAAACCGACGTTGAGTCCCGGACAGTCATTAGGCCAGCAGCACGCGTCACTGCCGGACGTGGCCTTAAGCCGAGCCAAGGCGCACCACGACGGCACATGTCACGCTCAGACGTGACCCAGGGTCACGCTGGATCACAGCGCGGCGAGTCACGGCCAGACACGCTCTGAGTCCCGTCGGGCCGCCCCACGGCGACACGTGTCGCGCTCAGACACGACCCCGAGTCGCTCCGGGCCTCGTCGCTGCGCCACGTGTCACCCCCGCCGCAGCAGACGGAGCGGCACGAGGCGGCGCGACCCACTCGCTCATGACGGACTTCCCGGAAGGCCCGGCGGCGACACGGCCGGCCGACTGCAGAGGCGACGCAGATGGCGCCCGGCTGCTGACGGCGCGTCCGACGCTGTCTGCTGATCCGCGGCGGCGGCACGTCGACCGCTACCCCCCCCCCCCTCGAGAGGCCCCCGGGGAAGAGGCCTCCGGGGAAGAGGCCCCGGTCTGCTGGAGGCAGGCATTTCTTGACTAGCCCGGTCAGCTTCAGACCAGGGCAGACGATACTCGCCCAGGACTGTTAGGCACACTCTCGCCGACGACGCTTGCACGTCTTCATAGCGTCGAATTGGTGATGCGACGAAGACTCTCCCGACGACAGTTTCAACAGTTTCATGCCTCATGCTTCCGGCGGCGACGGTTTCATGCCTCTTGCTCTTGGCGGCGACAGTTTCATGCCTCTTGCTCTTGGCGGCGACAGTTTCATGCCTCTTGCTCTTGGCGGCGACAGTTTCATGCCGCATGCTCTCGGCGGCGACAGTTTTATACCTACAGTTTCGTACATTTTTTCCAGCATGCTAATGTGTTGCCTCCCGACTGAATCGAGTTATGTAGCAGCTGCGCTGCAAACACGCCTCGGGCTGTTCTTTTCAAGGCGTGTCTCATCTGCCGACCCGCAGGCATCTTTTGGCATCTGCCTGAGCTGTCCAGGGAGCCCCATTTACTTGAAAACCACGCATGCCCAGCCCATGAAGCTACTCGGTTAAATTGTGGCGAATTTTGTCGAAGCTGCAGCGGTAACATCGGAGGATTTTTTCGGAGCCCGGTTCCTGGCGCTTTAGCACCTTGACACTGCTTATTGGATCCCGGCTTCACCGCGGCTGCAGGATATACCGCAGCCATCTACACATTTTCATCAGGGAGAGTGGAGCTGCGGAGTCGTCCAGCACCAGCCGGGTCGGGGTGAAGGGGAGGGGGAGAAAGATGGCCCTAGCCCAATCGACCAATCGCTGCCACGGCACGAATCCCGGCAGACCGCTGCCGCACGTCGAAGACGTCGCGCCTTTTTGCCGTCGCTCGCCCGATTCGTGCCGGATTTCAATTTGGTAGCGGCGACGGGGTGCGAGAGTTATCGACGGCGCCGACGACAGTGCTAATGATCGTCGAGGGCGCTAATCCGCGCTCCTTTCAGCCCGTCGCCACCGTCGCCGGCAGGCCGCCGGAGCGGTGGGCAGAAGTTTTATATTCGCGCTGCCCGTCGCTCAGACTCAATAGGCGCCGCCAAATGAGCTTTGCCAGCTGGCCAATCAGCTGAATGGCGGGTTTTGCCGCTAGCTCCGACCGGCGGCTTTGTGGCGCACGCCCCGCCATATATGTCACCGGGGCAATTTAGTGGCCAGCTGAATGCCGGGTGCGGCTATTCGCCATGTAACAGCTTGTCAAGTTTTCCGCTTTGTAGCCCGATTGGCAACTGGCAGGCGGCCGCGAGTGGCCAGAAAACTTTGCCCGTTGGCGGCCTGGGGCTGCGGCTCCGGGCGGCCCCGCGGCGGCCGCCGTAATGTGGCACCGTTGGATTATCAGCGGTAAGCCTGCGTCAGATATATAGAACGAGGGGAGGGGGGGGGGGGCCTCCGAACTGGGTTTGGTGAACGCTAACACTTTAGATTACACCCACGTGGCATGTTTTGGGTGGAGGCTGTTTGCGATGTCTGGCTCGTATGGATTGTGCGGCACCGAAGCGAATTGGGTGTTAAAAGCTACAAGTTGGTACTTCAACGCATCACTGCTTTAACCAGCAAACTACCCCTACCCTGCCGGCACGCAATACAGGGCGGCATGTGATAGGTAAGACGTGGCTGTGGAGAACTTTGGGGCTCCGCTATATATTTTTCAACCTACTCCCACCATAACAGCAATATAATGCACCCCGTGCTAAGGAATCCACGTCGCATCAGCTGTCCGGGGCTCAGCGGTCTCCACGTGCAGAGGTGCAGCGACTGGCCCCAGCGGCAGCAGCCATCGCAGCCTACTGCCCCCGCGGGATTGGTGGTCGCCTGACAATCTGTCACAGGGACGGCGCGCGGGGGATAAGGCTGCCCAGCAACCGGCACTGGCGGCAATCGGCTGATTCATCACCGTAACGACTGCCTTCAAAGCGGACGAACGCTGGCAAAAACGGCCAAATGAGATTTATGGAACCTTTTCGGAGCCCAGGCGAGCTTATTAACTCAAACACCAAGCTCACCGACTAGGGGAGCATGGTGCTGTTGGTTGCATGCATATAAAGGCAAATCTTCTGGTTCCACCGAGAACCGTTCCACCCAGCGCCAGCCAGTGGCAATCAGAACGCAAAATTGCATACAGATAAGATCCCACGATGGAAATTGTATTACACCACGCAGGAGATTGCCTGGAGTGTTTTGGTATTTTCATCTCCCCACTCCGCAAACAGCATGAGATGACGTGTCATATAT